CTAATCAAAATAACCCAACTGCAGTTTGATTGAGATTAATTGGAATGCACAATGAAAAAACACGATTTTTGAGAATTGTTAAAAACGGAGTTATCTGTTTTTGCAAATGAACTCTTCATATATCAAATTTAATATGACAAATACATAAAATTTCTTATTATAATGCATACAGTTTTGCCCCAAAAAACTAAAAACTATTTAATGCAAAATATCTGGACGTGTACCGTAGACTCGCGGTGAATCCTGCGGTTGGGTTTGCCGAGGGCCTCTATGATTTCTAAAGCGTAGAGCAGCTTATGAGGGCTCTTGATCCTCAACAGATCCTTCCAGCACAAACCGTCAGATCCCTAAAGCCATGGTGAGAACAAATCAAACTTCATGCAGAGTGCAATGAACAAAAATGTATGTAGAACAATTTTCACTCAGAAATTAGTAGTAGATTTAATAGTAAATGCTTGGCACATTGACATAAAAGTGCAGTAGAAATTTTTGAATTTTGAAGTAAAAAGTTCATTTCTAAAGTATAAAAATATATGAAGAGTTTATTTGAAAAAAACAGATAACTCAAACTTCAAAAATCATGTTTTTTTATTATGTTATCGTGTTTTATTGTGTTAGTTAGCTGTATTTTTTTGTTATTTTTTAACGTAATCAAAATAACCCAACTGCAGTTTGATTGAGATTAATTGGAATGCACAATGAAAAAACAAGATTTTTGAGAATTGTTAAAAACGGAGTTATCTGATTTTGCAAATGAACTCTTCATATATAAAATTTTATATGACAAATACATAAAATTTCTTATTATAATGCATACAGTTTTGCCCAAAAAAACTAAAAACTATTTAATGCAAAATAAATATGTAAAATTAATTTTCACTTGAATTAACACATTGAATTAAATGTGAAATTTTGAAGCCGTTTATTACAAAATATAAAATTTAATATAGTAAATTATCAAAAGGTCTTATTATTTTAATGTATTCATTTCCCATATAAAACTAAAAACTATTTGTTTAATGCAAATAAACAAGTAGAAAAAAATTACCAAGAAATTGCTAATAAGTTTCGACAGATTGAATTAAACACGAAATTTTGAAGTAGAAAGATTCAGTTTTGTCCCAAAAAAACTATTTAATGCAAATTTAATTTAATGTTAATTTTCACTCAAAAATTGCTAGTGAATTTCAATATGTTGAATTAAATGTGCAATTTTGTAGAAAGACTGATACATCATAAAACATGCTTCAATAATCTTAGTTTTCAAAAAAATCTGCTTTTACAGTGTACATGTTCAGGCTAACAAACGCTAGAAATCTCTTAATAAATGACTGGGCAGCATGGGTCATGTGACTGACCGTGTCATCGGAGATGTTCTGGAAGGCCTGGAGCATGCTGGGACACGTGGGCAGCAGCATGAGCAGCTCCCACACTCGGCGGGACAGATTCTCCGCATGGAGGTGCAGCTCCTCACAGCGAACACTCTGCAGGAGGAAACACACTGGATTGGATGCTGGTTTAACTCAGTCTGGACCGGGTCTGAGGCGTGGGGCTGGATGTTACCTCAGTGCTGTGCTGGGGTCTGTCGGGGCCGGGCGGCTTGAAGCAGGCCAGCATCTCCAGCAGGTCGAAGAGGGTGGTGAGGTGGGGCTCCTGCAGGAGCAGCAGCATGGGGATGTGCTCCTTCTGAGGGGGCGGCAGACACGACGCCGGCAGCTGGACTCCCTCGCCCTTCCTCTCCCTCCGCGGAGCGCCCAGAGACACGAACACCATCTGACAGCACACACAAACGTCTCTTAGCGTTTTATGTCTAGTGTTGTGGACTCAAAGGTGTATGTGGATTTGTTTGGTCACCTGCATGTCCTTGAAGCCGAGCTCGTGAAGGGTCTTCTCATCATAGTCAGTGGTCAGCTCGTGTCCTGATGAGATCATGCGCACCGGACCCATCAGACCACCTGCACATAAACACACACGCACAGACTTTACCAGTCAAATCCCACTATAAAATGTTGCCAATGCCATATGAACACTCATTTGAACTTTTGAGGTTTTAACTAATTTTAAGTATGTATGTATATAAATATATCATATACATACATACAATTCATATTTAATTGATATATTATTAAATATTGTATATATAAATTCTACATTTAAGTTATATATATCCAAAATATAAAATCACTTTTTGAGGTTTTAACTAATTTTAAGTATAAATATATCATATACATATCATATATATCATATACATACATACAATTCATATTTAATTGATATATTATTAAATATTGTATATATAAATTCTACATTTAAGTTATATATATCCAAAATATAAAATCACTGAAAAAGAATAATTTTATATGAATAAATATTTATATATAAACAAAAATATATTTAATATAAAAATATATTTAAATTATAAGATGTGGATGTATAAAGATGTACACAGACAGAGAGATAGACAGATGGAAAGATTTACATTACATAATATATATAAAATATCCAAAGCATAAAATTACCAAAGAAAAAAAGAACAAATTATATATTAATAAATACTGCACATATAAATTTCAAAATATAAATGAAAGATTTTACATACATAAACACTATATATTTTTTTTTGCTTATGGGCATTTGTACGCTATATACATCATACAGTCAGAGTCAGTGGACGGTCTGTTTGAGGTTCAGATGCGATAGAGTCACAGTCGTCCAATAGAGAGAGTGTGTGTGTGTGTTTTCTGTGTGCATGTACCTGGGAAGTCCTGCTGGCGGCTGGTCTGACCGAACTCCTGCAGCTGTGCCTGCTGGCTGAGCTGATCCTTCTGAAGGTTCTCATACCAGTGCGTGACCTCTGCCCTCAGATCAGCCACCTGATCGCTGGGGTACATCTCGATGGTCATCTGCACAGACACACAGAAAGCTTTATTAAACCCAGCCTGAGCAGACACCAGGGATGAGGAAGATGATGATGATGAAGGCATACCTTGTCAGGCAGTCCTGCTGGCTGACACACGATCCTGAGCGGGAGAGACTGTTTATCACTGAGAGCTTTCAGATGACTGCTGATGCCCGTGCCCTCGATCTGCCACTGCCGCAGGTGATACGCAAACCTGAACACACATCACTTAACACTTAACTGTGTTCTTTTACAGGATGAAGGTCATAGAGGTTACTAGCATTCTGTCAGCTTATTCAATGTCCGTTCAAATTTTGATATCCAAAAATGTTTAAATTCCACATGATTTCTCACATAGACATGGTTTTCACGTCACTGACGGAGTGTGTGTACCTGCGTCTGAAGGCCTCCAGGTGTGTTTTGAGCAGAAGCAGTCCTCTCTCTATGATGGTCAGGCTGGAGTGGGCATCTTTCTCCAGGTTAGCAGACGCCATCATCAAGCTCTCCATACACTTACTGATGAACTCCTGCTCCTTCTCCAGACCCGTTTTACCTGCGGTCACACACACTAATAAATACATCGCATTACACACTCACATAAATTCAGAACACAAAACAAAAACACAACCATCAAAGTCCAATGGGACAAATTGCAGATTAAGGGTGCTGTCACACTAGCACTTTTGGTGCGCACCCGGTTTCGATTGACGTCAGCAGTGTTGGGGGTAAACGCATTACAAGTAATGCGAGTTATGTAATCAGATTACTTTTTCAAGTAACTAGTAAAGTAACGCATCACTTTTTAATATCCGAGTTACTTTTTCAAAGTAAAGCAAGTTACTTTTTTTCCCCAATTTATTGATTGACAGCTCTTCTGTCCCCATGTTGAGAGAAATCAGAAGATGTTACTGTAGTTCTAAAAATGTGTGTGTTTGTGTGTTTCACTCACTTTCCTGACGAGCGTGACTGACGTGCTGCAAACAGAGAGCTGTATATCTCATTTCAGTTCGCCTTCAGCGTTCTTTGATCATTTGCAGTACATTCGTAAGACAGACGTAAGTGCCGTTACGTACCGAAGCTTTGTAAACAAAATGAACGGTTCAAAAACGTAAATATATAAAAGTGCAGAGAGCAATGTTATGAATTTGCCGCCTTCTCCAGCACCGTCATTACTAAGCAACGGGGTAAACAGCTGCTGGCTTGATGACGCAAACGAACCGTGGTTCGGACCCAAATAAAATAATATGAACGCAGTCCAGCGGGGGCAGGGGGAGGGGGGAGCAATCAAACTCGGGTTCAGACCAGGCCATCTAACCAAGTGTGAAAGCACCCTTATTCTATGCAACCAAATGATGTAAAAACACCTGCCATTTGATGAATTTGTCAGTTACATTTTTTAGTCATTTTAAATTTAGTATATTTTTTATATTACTATTTAGACTTTATTTATTCTTCTTTCAGCTTTCGCAGTTATTAACTTCCAGGCAACATTCATTTTTGTTTACTTTAAATTTTTTCCATCTAATATTTACATTTTATTTCTGCTTTATTTAAATGAACAAAAATGCTTTTAATATTTTTAGTTAACGATAATAACCCTGCTTACAACATAACAATAAAAAACAAGATCAATAATTTCCAGGTAAAACTTTTTAAAAAACATTTCAAGTACTTTAAAAATGTCTAGCAGTATTAAAAGCTGCTAAAAAAAGGTTTCTTCTTGCATCTAATCTAATCAACACTGATCTGACAGCAGCTGAATAATGACACCAGTGTGTTCAGTTGAGCTGCTTATCGCTGAATTGAACTTGTTTCATAATGAATGAACTTACAGTTACTGAACTGAACCGAACAAATACTGAACTGACTTGAAATTAATAATGACACTACTGTCCTGCCAGTTGATTTATAGCCAAATTTGGATTTGCCTCATTTTTGAAGTTTGAATCACTTATTCTGTTCCTTTGTTTAATACTGTCAAACTGCTTTGAATCTCGATAGCATAAAGGGCTATAAAAATACAGGTGATTTGATGACGAAAATAGAGAGGTTATAAAATTGTAAATGTTTAATGGTTATGAATTATGCTTGGCGTTTACTGACCGCTGATGTAATAGGAGTTGATGTACTGGATGGCAGCGCGGCTGATGTCTGCAGACTGAGCCCTCAGCGCGATTCCCCACAGCTGATCCATACCACACAACTACAGAAAGAGAGAAAGAACGGTCAGGGAGAACACATCGAGAGAAACCGCCGGTGAGATTTTGAGATCCGCTGCTGTGAACCTCGCAGTTGGAGCTGCTGTCGTAGGCGCTGGTGGCCAGACGAGCCAGATTACACAGATGCTGAAACAAATTGAGTCCCGTCATGCTGATCGTCTCCGGCTTCAGCTGAGGCATCTGAGAGAGAGAGAGAGAGAACCAGCCGATGAAAGATTCATTCTCACGGCATGTACAGTATAAAAGATGTGTTTCAATGATACAGTGACCAGACCTTCTCCAGGAAGAGGTGTTTGTATGTCTCCATGCCCATGGCGTGCTGGTCTTTACTGCGGACCTGGTTTAGGAACCAGTGCAGGGCGTCGTCATAACACTCAGAGTCCTCCACTAAACAGTGCCACAGGATGTCCACCTGCTCCAGACTCAACCCTGACACACACACACACACAGGCAGGATATTCATATAGTTACATATAGAGTGATTCTCACATGCAGCGGTGTGTGAGAGATAAAGAGAGATGCTCACTGAAGTGGTCAGGTGATCCAAGCGTTGAGAACACACAGGTGAGGAACTGCAGACGCACCTGCACCTCCGCACTGTGACTGTACCTGAGACACACGGGGTGTTAACACAGCACTTCATACACACAATTCAGACAAAAGACAGTTTTTTCTTACAGAAATTAAGATTTTTATTCAGCAAGGATGCATTAAATTGATCAAAAGCGACAGTAAATAAATTTATAATGTTGCAAAATTTTTGAAAAAATTATTTAAAACAACTGCCTCGTTTTAACGTTGATAAGAACTAAAAATGTTTCTTGAGCAGCAAATCAGCATATTAGAATGATTTCTGAAGGATCATGTGACACTGAAGACTGGAGTAATGATGCTGAAAATTCAGCTTTGATCACAGCAATAAATTACATTTTAAAATATAATCAAATAGAAAACAGTTCTTTAAAATTAATTAAAATAATATTCCACAATATTACAGTTTTTACTACATTTTTGATCAAATAAATGCAAGCTTGGTGAGAATTATGTTTCAAAAACACTGAAAAAAAAATCTTACCTACCCCAAATTTTTTGAACAGTAATATAGAAATAAAGACATCAAACTTACAAAGCGAATTTGTGGTTCTGCTCTCTCACTTCCTGGATATAGTGTAACAGATCATCAAAAAAGAGCTTCATCATGTGCAGCTCCTTTTCCGCCCACCTGTAGCACAAAATTATCTGTAAAGTGCTCTTAAGTTCCACTTAATAACAATATGGAGAGCAGTGGTGGGCGGAGTTTCTTACATGGTTATCCAATGAGTGTCGTAGCTGGAGCCGAACTGCTGGAAGGTCCCAAAGAGCTTTGGCAGCAAACGCAAAGACACCACCACTGACCTGATGAACGCAAACAGAAACGAAACAATCAAATATCTCCTACTGGACCTTAGAAAAACCCAAACCTCTTCAGCAATTTCCTACAGCACTTCACATATCTGTGATGGTCTCACCGGTGGTTGGCTAGGTTCTCCAGACAGCCATCGATGAAACGCATGCGGATCTGACGGTCAGTGAACCAGCAGACCAGAGAACACAACAGCTTCTCTGCCTCATTGATCAAGCCTTCCGACAGGTGGATCTAGTCACCAAGACAACACCAGAAACACATAAGAATCACAATCTAAATGTTAAATACTTCAAATAGTCTGCTGCGAGGTAAACATACCGCACTGTCGTCCTGGACCAGGTCCCACAGAAGGGTGTTTCCTTTCTTGCAGACGCTGTCCAGGTTGATGTCGGTCACCGCGTGTGAAGAGTACTGATGTTTGTGCACTGCTGGACCTGGAGCAGAACATCAGACAGAAACTATCATGTGACTTTTGTTTAAAGTCAAATTTGAGTTTTTGTAAAATGAACCGTAAAATCAACAACAGCAACCCCTTAGAGCACCCTAGAAACCATCAGAACACCATCCCAACAACCACTTTAAGCCTGAAATTCATTACACATTTTTTGCCCCGATTTTTACATCGATTTACAGTCTGGAGACGTTGACGCTAGCTGCCGAAAGTCAGAGCCAGCCTGCAGATTTGAGTTGACAGTTTCCATAGAAAATCACGTAGTGTATGATGGTCACAGACTCCGATTTGATATTTTCAGACGATTTTAGAACACGTTGTTTTCATTTGTCAAGCGTCTCCTAGCAACAAGGCATACATTTCTGCGTGAGTTTGATGTGATCAGAACGACTGCTAGTATATCATCCTCAGGCGTGTAGTGTATGCTGGCCAGTTTTCCTTTGTCACCACTATTTACAAAGTCGGCAAGTATACGATGCCTAGTGTTTAAAAATCTGTTCAGATTTTAAAAGTTGTGTAGTGTATTTAAACACAACAGAAACCTAGTAACGCTCTAGCAACCATCCAGAACACCCAAATTACCTTAGAGCAGGGGTAGGCAAGTTCGGTCCTAGAGAGCCGCAGTCCTGCAGAGTTCAGCTCCAACCCTAATCAAACACACCTGAACAAGCTAATCAATGTCTTCAGGATTACTAAGGCTATAGTCAGGTGAGCTTTTTTTTCAGGGTTGGAGCTGAACTCTGCAGGACTGTGGCTCTCTAGGACCGAACTTGCCTACCCCTGCCTTAGAGCAACACTCTAGCAACTAGGGATGCTCATATTGACCGTTTAAAGGCACAATATGTAAGATTTTTTTATTAAAATATCCAAAAACCACTAGAACAGCGTTACATATTTTGCTGACTTGTGTACTTACGTTATCCCAAATGTTTCGATAGCTCATCCATGAACATGATTTCTGTCCGAGTCCCGTCGGATTGCATCGGCTGTGGAGATGAAGACCACAACTCCCATGATTCCACATTCAGTCACGTGTCATCAAACTAGGCCTTTGTCTCTTTGTTTATTTTGAATACGCGCCCTCTAGTGGCGAAAATGACATATTGTGCCTTTAACCATTAACCGAAAGTAAGAATTTTACCCGATTTATACTATCAGTTAAACTGTTTAAAAGTTTTTTTGCCATGTTTTTTTTCACAAATATTTTTAAGTTTGCTGCATGGAAAAATAAAAAATAATGCTATACATACAGTATTTGTTTACTCGAGGGCACTTGTCGACACGTGCATATTTCGCTGAGCAAGCACCTGCTTCCCCTTCACTTAGTTAACTGATGTAGGCTGTCACTCATCTTACTGTAGATCATCACGATCTCAGAAAGTTAATAAAAAATAATTAAAGAAGCTTTACACTGCACAATTAATCTCTTATTTACATCACGTCTACACTTTCTTTGTTTTAATGAGAGAATTCGCGATCGTGCAGAACTTAGCAGAACACCGGCATTTTGGGTGGGGTGAGTGGATTGCGTTCATGAAATCAACAGATACGTCTGTGATTGGCTACATTGCTCAACGCTGCTGCAAACACGCCGTGAATAGAAACATATGGCCAGTAGATGAAAAGTCCCGAACCGCAAATTGACAGGATTTTTGTGATGGTGTTTTTGCTGCGGGTCTAACAATTAGCAGGCAGCACTCCAGTATATCCGTACAGCATGTAGACATGTTACTTAAAGGGGTCATATGATGTTGCTAAAAAGAACATTATTTTGTGTATTTGGTGTAATGAAATGTGTTTATGCGGTTTAAGGTTCAAAAAACACATTATTTTCCACATACTGTACATTATTGTTTCTCCTCTATGCCCCGCCTTTCTGAAACGCGTCATCAGTAAACAGTCCTCCATAAAATGTGCTGCACACATCTGAATATTTGGGTTGAAGTGTTCTGGAACAGTGTTGTAAATACAACTTAACCACTGATTTCTAGTCGTGTCCATTTTTGGAAGGCCAAACAAAGTGGTTTCGCTTTCACAACGAAACACAGCGTCACACACGGTGGCCTAGAGTGAGCGGAGGCCGGATTGAGTGAGCAGAGGCGGGCGGGCGGGCTTGAGAACAGTGCGGCCGGTGGATTCGACGAAGGAGCTTGCGGCAACCACATGTGACGACCCTGGGCTGGACCCCTGCTTCGTCCACGGTGAAAGCAGATGCGGCGATCCACAGCGCAAAGTTGATGTATTTCCTCAGTTACCAGCACAGATCAGCTCCAGGCATGACGAAGCGATATAGTCCTCTTTTGGAAGGCCAAACAAAGTAGTTTTGCTTTCACAACGAAACACAGTGTCTTCACGGAGTGTTAGAACGAGCCGTTTTAGGTAGGCGTGGCTGACTCTTAACTTTTATAAAGAATATCTCTTTGGATTTGAGACTTTAGTCTTTACAACTTTACAGATCTTCTTTATGCACCAAGAGCTTGTAACACTCCAAAGAGAAAGGAAAAATTTAAATCGCATCATATGACCCCTTTAAAAAAATTTAAATAAAATAGACACATACACTGAGGTAGGCCTGCTATATATTTTTATGTCTGACGGGAAAATGACTATGCCGTTCTTCAAAGCGCATAGAAGGATTCAGTGTGTGTTTGAGTTTTGTCATCTTAATTTGTTAATTATTTATTTGATATATAGGCTATTTAGTGCAGGCCTAGGCCTATTTATTTTATTCTTTTTTTATTTATATTATTTTATTCTGTTTTTCTCTGTTCTCAGAAGCGCTGCTGCGTAACAATTTGAGGATGTGTGAATCCAGGTTTTGCTGTTGCTTTGTTTGCACGTTAAAATTAAATGTTTGTATTTTTTATGTATCATCAACAGATGCTTGTCCATTCTATTTTTATTTAGGCTAATACTAATTTATCATTCTAATTGAATCAGTTAACGGTTAATGTTCAGATAACGAGCAGTGGTTGTCGGTCAGGAAAATTAACCCGAAATGAGCATCCCTACTAGCAACCACTTAAAACAACTTAAACACCTAGCAACACCCTGGAAACCACACAGAACACCCAAATTACAATAGAACAACACTCTAGCAACCACTTAGAACACCATAAAAACCTAGCAACACCCTAGAAACCACACAGAACACTTGAATTATCACAGGGCAATGCTCTAGCAACCACTTAGAAACAACTGAAAAACCTAGCAACACCCTAGAACAAGCTAATTGCCACAGAGCGACACCCTGACAAACACACAGAATGCCGAAATTACCACAGAACAACGCTCTAGCAATCATATAAACATCTTAAAAACCTAGCAACACCCTAGAAACCACCCAGAACACTCTAACTGCCATATAGCAACACTAACAATCCCTTAGAAAAAAACTTAAAACCTAGCAATGCCCTAGAAACCACCCGGAACATCCTAGCACTGTGGCGGCAGTCTTAGGTGATGTGTACGTACCTTGCACCAGATGTTCGTGGTATATGGAGGCCAGGTTGGGCAGGTGCTGCTGCAGGTGCGAGCTGAGCTCAGCATGCGAGTTGATCTGGACCAGCTCCTCCTCGCAGCCAGACTCCTCTCCGTCAAAATCTGCCATGTTCTTCTCAGATTTGGCACTGACTTGGGAACTGCTGCAGCTCACGTCATCGGCGCTCAGCATGTCCTCTACCATGTGACTGTGGAGAGTGAGAGTTTGTGTTGAGAGTAGGTTACCAGAAGACACAATGGCATAAAAACCAAGTGAGCCATCTACCTAGACAACACTTTAAGGCATCAAAGCAACCTTTTAAGACACCTTCTTGGAGAAGGCAATCCCCAAAAAGGTTCCATTAGTTAGGATGCTGCCTATGTAGATAGCTAGGGAGATCACTAGGTTTTGGAACAGAGGTAACGTAAAAATCACATTAAAGAGGTAACCTAACCCATCATGGTGGTGGTGATGATGATGATGGTGGTGATGATGATGGTGATGCTGAGGGCTGATAAAACGCCTGCAGTTGAAGAGCTCATTGCCCATGGCCTCCGTCAGGAAGTCTGCCGGTCGAGGCATGCAGGGTGGCTCCTGGGAAACAGACACTCCGTGTGAGGAGCCCATCTCTGTGCCGCCCTGCTGAGGTTGCTGGGGGTTCTGGGATTGGGAATGTGAGGAGGGATCAGCCTGCTCTCCCGACGTTCCCTCCAGGCACACGGATGAAGAAGAGCAAGGCTCAAGGATCCTAAGGGAAGACGAGGCTACCATGGCAGCGGCTGCCTCGGGGGTGAAGGGAATGGATTTGGTTTTGGAAAGTCCGGGAGTGGAGGCGATGGAGCCGGGAATGCCGGGTGGAATTCCGGGTCGCTCCGGAGGACCCTGGACCTCTCCGAGCGATTCGCCGGCTTTGCGTTTGCGCAGCTCTGATGTAGACGGCTCTCTGGAGTCTCGGGTTTCTTTCTGAGGGCTGCCCTCGGAGGCGACAGCTGGCCTGTCATCTTCATCGTCCTCATCCTCGTCTTCATCATCCTCGTCGTCGTCCTCTTCTTCTTCCTCCTCCTCTTCCTCTTCCTTCAGGACCTCGCTGTCAGCCATGTCGTCGGAGTGCAGCTCGCTGCCCGGGCTGCCTGCTGATTGGCTGGCTCGGCTGGATCCAGCCTCGTTGCTGGACGCCTCGCTGCGGCCGCTGCTGCTGCCCTCCTCGCCGCTGTTGGCCGTCTCGTCTGAACTGCCCTGCAGAGACTCCTGCGGAATGGCAAAAAACACTCAAATGAAGCTGAGTGACATCTGTTTTCAAATCATATTTTGGAAAATGCGTTACCTCCGTGTCCGACAGCCTCTGCTGCCCTCGTTTTCCACAGCTCATGATTGGCTCGTCCATCTCCATGTCACTTTCTCCACTGTGATGCGTGTCGCTGTTGTCACTGCTCTCCGGGCTTCCTGCAGGAGAACCTGGGGGAAAATTTAAATACCATTTTAACAAAAAACTGGCTACACTAAGATCCTGGGAGCTGAACCATAGTTACTCATTTTAGCTAAATAAATGAGTAAAAAAATACATACAATTATAATAGAAACTCTTTATAGATGATAATCTGAGCCAATTGTGAAAAATAAATAAATAAAACATTTTAACAGAAGCTTTACACTGACATGATTAATTGAGCTACTGTGGATAGATAGATAGATAGATAGATAGATAGATAGATATGATTTGAGCTCGGAACGTTCTGATAGATAGATAGATAGATAGATAGAGAACTCAGGATTTGAACTCGGGACGCCCAGAACGCAATGGAGTCATATGTCGGCACACTGCACACCAAAAACTCAAATTATGTATACTCAGATGCATATCTGAACCACAGGGGCTAAATAAATAAATAAACAAACAAACAAAATACAATTCCTGGACTCTGATCTAAATTTAATAGAATAATTATAAAAACTCAGAATACACAAAAACCAGCTTCAAACTGAGAAATCTCAATCTTAATTCCTTGGTATGCACATCAAAAAAGCAGATGACAAACACAACACACCTTTCTTGTTGCCCATGGGAATGTTGGTGTTGAGCAGGGAGGCGAAGGAGCTCTGTTTGGACAGCTGAGTTTTGGCTGCCAGAGCGTTATTCCACAAGGCCTTGATCAGCATGGACGCCAAATACAGCGTCTACACGAGCAGAGAAACACCTCAACAAACACATACTGGCTAGCCAGGTAAAAATACAGCTATTTTAGTCTATTTCAAAGTATGTTAGTGAGAGCAGTCATCTATATGACTAAAGTGACTGTGTGTAATTCTAAGATGTGCAGATACAGTGTGAGAGCGTGTGGTACCTGTTCAGTGTGTGCGCTGGGGTGTAACCCTGACACCAGACTGAGCACGTGCCGCAGAGGAACAGGGTCCAGGTTCTTTATGAGCGAGGGGAACAGGTCATGGATGTAGCGACTGCAGTGTTTCAGCTAAAAACAGAGACAGAGAGGCCTGTTCAGCACTACTGTATGAGGAAATAAATGAGAATCAAAGGCCGAACAGAGAAAGAGTGTCTGTGCTCTTGTTTCCCCACTATGATCAAAAGGGCTGAATATCAGAAAATCTACTTTAAAATGTAGTAAAATCTCTACAACTGACTTGTGAGGACAAACATAATAGATAAAATATTGATATGTAGTAATGGTTCTACTGGAAATTGGAAAGAAAAAATTGCTTGCAGTGTTGTTTTAGTATTATTTATATTACTATTTTGAATGAGCTTTTATTTCTATATTTGTGGTTTGCATGACAATTTTAGTTTATGTTTTAGTAATTTTATTATGTGCTCGTCATTTTAATTAGTTGTGTTTTTAACATTTCTATTTAGCTTTCAGTTTTAAATTCAGTAATTTAAGTACTTTTTTAATTTTATAACTTTTTATATATATATATATATATATATAATGTCCATTATAATAAAATAGTTTATACTTCTGTTGCATTCATCACATTAAAAGTGTGATATATATTGAAAATAAATGTAATAATAATAATAATAATAATAATAATAATAGACTTCCAAAACATATTTGCTCACAAAATTGGATTAAAAATGCAAATTAAATATTTTTATTTCTGATAGGATAACTGAATGTTTCAAAATGTTTCTTGTCGCACACAATGTAAGTGTTGTTACTGTTAAATAAAACCACAACTATCCCACAGCATTGTGGGATCAAGTGTTACTTACAGTGTGCTCTGATAGTTTACTGCACATTTTTACAAATTTATGCTATGCAAAAAATTTGAAATTCATGTGAAATGAGTTTTTGTGTGTGTGTGTGCGCACCTGAGCGGCGGCCCATATACAGTCCACATGTTGAGTGCTCAGCCTGCCCTCGGCTGCCAGGAAGTTCAGGATCACTTGGCACTGTTTAATGATCTACAGCAGAAACAAGACGAGCACAATCAGAAATAATAAACCTTTAGTCAGCGTCCAAAGAAACTATGAAAGTCTACTGGACTCACCTCAATGTGCAAATTTGGTCCAAATATGTGCTCTACAACATTGTTGTTGATGAGCCAATCAGCGAGTTCCTTTGCTATCGACCTGAAAGAGGAAAGAAAGATGTCAATACACATCTAGATTGACTGAACTACTGAAACAAGTGGACTCGTAACACTCACGTCTCAGTGTCAGACACCAGGGACTCGTTATTACAGACGTCATTGAAGGTGTGCAGCTGATTCTACAGGAACACAAGCACAGATCATTCAACACCGGCTGGAGACAATGGAAGAAGAGTTCTTGTGTTTTTGTGTCTCGTACCGTGATCTGGCTCAGGCCGGCCAGTCTCATGGTGAGCGTTGGACTCATGAAGTATTTGAAGGCCAGATCCAAGCTCTCTCTGTCAAAACACAGCGCGCTGTCCAGCGGCTCCTTCACCGTGCTCCACATCAGATCGGCCATGTTACGCGCCGCGCTCTGACGCAGCTCCTGATCCGACAAATTACACAGATACCTAAAGACAGAGATTCATATGTTAGGTGTGACTGCATGAGTCAGGTGCATAAAAACAACTGATCACAAAGGGTCATCCACCTAGAATGGCCCACTTCAAAATGACAGGCTGACAACTCAAAAGCATTGCTGTAACTGCAATTTAGATTTGTTTTTTCAAACTGAGGGACTAGTTAAAAGTATTTTCTAATCAGTAGCACGCTTAACTTGTATTAAACCTGAAGCATTCTTTTCAGGATATGTATCAAAAATCCCTTTGTATTTATAAAGAATAACAAACAAAACCTTAAACAAAATCCAGCAAAACAGTCTGAATGACAGAGCATTTCAGTGGCTTGACAATTACATTTACAAAACTATTTTTTTCAAAAAATATATAGCAATATAATGTAATTTGTTACATAATAGCAGTTTGATTTCCAGTTTTTTCACTATTATTTCTTTTATTTCAGTTTCCTTTTGCAAAGGAAAAAAAGACATATTTAATAAAAAAAATGTATATGTATTATACATGATAAATTGTATCTAAATGTGCAAACATAACATAACATAATATATCTGTCCAGTCTTTTTGAAGTGACACTACAAACTCAATTCAGTAGATTTATATAAAACGTAGCGCTGTCAAGCAATTAATCATGATTAATCGCATCCAAAACAAAAGTTTTTGTTTACATAATATATATATGCGTGTGTACTGTGTATATTCAGGATATGTATCAAAAATCCCTTTGTATTTATAAAGAATAACAAACAAAACCTTAAACAAAATCCAGCAAAACAGTCTGAATGACAGAGCATTTCAGTGGCTTGACAATTACATTTACAAAACTATTTTTTTCAAAAAATATATAGCAATATAATGTAATTTGTTACATAATAGCAGTTTGATTTCCAGTTTTTTCACTATTATTTCTTTTATTTCAAAGTTTCCTTTTGCAAAGGAAAAAAATACATATTTAATAAAAAAAATGTATATGTATTATACATGATAAATTGTATCTAAATGTGCAAACATAACATAACATATCTGTCCAGTCTTTTTGAAGTGACACTACAAACTCAATTCAGTAGATTTATATAAAACGTAGCGCTGTCAAGCAATTAATCATGATTAATCGCATCCAAAATAAAAGTTTTTGTTTACATAATATATATATGCGTGTGTACTGTGTATATTTATTATGTATATATAAATACAAATATATGCAGTATATATTTTGAAAATATTTACATGTATTTACATGTATATATTTATATTTATATTATTTATTTTACAGATATATTTAATATATAAACTTAACATATTTTCCCTAAATATATACATGTATGTGTTTGTATTTATATATACATAATAAATATACAGAGAACACACATATATTATGTGAACAAAAACTTTTATTTTGGATGCGATTAATCGCGAATAATCGTTTGACAGCACTCATTAAAATGTAATAATATAATGGTGGTTTTGACTACTTTTCAAGATGGATGAATATTTACAATTTAATAATACATAACATGATCTCAGAAAAACTGGAGGTTTCCGTGTGAATACACTAATACACGCTCTCTCTGTGAGTCTCTGTGTGCTGCTCTAATCCTGTCTGGCTCGAGTCACATGACCAGCACTCTCTCAGCTCTCCTGCCAGCCGTCTGGCTCCCCCCAAGGTCATGTGAGGAGAGTCGTGGCAACTGTTGCTATGGTGAGGGATGCTCTTCCTAGCAACTCAGCAGAGAGCAGATTTTTGGCGGCAGCGCTCCAAGAGTAGCCTGCGTCTCTTTATATCTCTCAGTCAATCAGTCAGGATCCATTAGATGAAATTAAGGTTTAGGTCCAGTTCAGAAAGGTGTTCTTACCTGATAACGTATGTGCGAAAAGGGATGATGTGCTGCATCACAGCGGGAATGTGCAACCATATTCTGATCTGTACAAACAGAAGAATAACCTCTGATTGGTTACGGGTCTAACAAGTCAGACTCTGGTTAATTTGACTAGGTTTTTTTGACTCACGTTAGAGACGATGGTGATGAAGGCATGTGCGATGGGGAAGGGGAGAGTGTCAGGAGCGCCGAACTCAAAGCAGTCCTTCATCAGAGAGAGGCCATGCTTCCCGCAGAACATACACACATATCGCAGCAAGTGCAGAGGGACCTCCACATCCTGAAACACACACACACACACAATATAATCCCTTAAAACACACCCAAATCATTTTCCTAAATTATGCCCCCCAAAAAAACACTCTTTATCTCAACAGCATGATTGTGTGGTCACATGACCAAATGAGTTTAATCAATATATTCTTTAGAAGATCTCACTGACTGGCCAATCACGAGTGAGACTGACAATGACTTCTCCAGAAAACCATTTTTATGCAAATTAATGCACTGAATTGAATGGTTTTATGAATAGTTTACACAGAAATTCATTCAGCCTGTATTTCATGAATAAAGCTCGAGTCTTTGAGCTGTTCTTATGACTTAACATATATTACATTATATTGTATGTATATAATATTACATTATATTATATGACTAACAGATATTGTCATGTGACTATATGACTGTCACATTAAAGTAAACATGATGTTATGAAAACCATATGTGATCTAGTATCTTTCAAAATACTAATCAATTATACAATAATCAAAAAATATACTTAAGTGATATACTAAATTGCTGTAATAATATAATCATCACAACAATACACTATATATATGATGTGGCTATAATATTAGATTATTTTATATTATAAGACTAACATATTGTATTTTTAAAAAACATTATATATAGCAAACATGGGGTATGAAGACCATATCTTAACTAGTACTAAAATCATAACATTAAGATTATTAATACAATAATATAATCATATATTTTATATAGTCATATAATTACCAGACAAATGTCCTTTTAAGTAATATAATAAACTGTTGAAATTATATAATAATCACATTAATATAATATAATAATGATCATTATTATTATAAAATATTATTATTGCATGTCAAGTTTAATTATTAGTTTTATTAAAATAAAGTGTACATGTTGTGTGGAAAAATATTAAATACTTTGCACACAATTCAAGCAAAGACTGTGAGAAATAATCAACAGATGAATCAAAATAGTTGCAGGCAAGACTATTTACAGGCTTCAAAAAAATGCCAAGATGTGAGTCTTTTTTTATATGACCTCAAAGGAGCTTTGGAAAGCATCCTTATATAGAGTTTGAGTATGAATAGTTTGTATTCAATTACTAAAGCCTGTGATGATTCATGGGCGCAGATGAATCACGCTAGCCGACGTCTAAACAAGGAGGGAACATCTTGTACTTTCACACACAGGACACACCTAGCTGTGATCTCAGAGTCAGTTAAATCTAGTCCTGCTCCATTCACTCAGCATCTATTGTGGTCATGAATTATCTCTAAATGGTGTAATCAAGCCCATCATAATGAGTGTGTGTGAAAGAGAGAGAGAGAGAGAGAGAGAGAGAGAGAGAGACTCACATTCATATCACAGAAAGAGCCGAGGATATTGCTCTCTTGTGCCGAGATATCCTGAAGACAAAAACAACAAACGGATATTTAAAAAAGACAGCGACCCAAATAAAACCATACTCAACTTTTCAACAGAAAAACAGCTTCTATTTTTGTCTTGAGGATTTGTTGAGGTTATTCAGTTCATCCAAATCATTCAGCAATAATTAAGCACTAACTGGAAGAGCATAATATACACACATAACACTTATGTTATGTGTATATTGCTTCTGTTGAGCCCAAATGGTAGGTTGGCAAAGTAAAAATGCTTTCAAAACTTCCAGAGCAAACGTTTTACCAATAAATTAGGAACAGGCACAAGTGCTCAGTACTGACAACAATGATCAGATTTTACATGCACTTGAAAAATCTGATTTAGGTCATTTGTCTTTTTAAAATGTTAAAATGATTGTAGCCCAGCTTCGTTTTGTACATATGCGTAACTATTACAACTGGCCTTGACGTTGTGAGCTTGCTCTGAAAGACAAAAGTGATGTGTGATGTGCATTTAATCCATCAAATATTCGATTACGCACACTTGCACACGTGCATACTTGAGCAGCAGTCTTTATCGGTCATTCTGACTACACAATAACCTGATTACAACTGCACATGTAAAAGAACTTAACTGCATGACTGAAAAGCAATAACATCTACAGAAGGAGCATGACAAGCAGAGCATCTTTTAATTTTGGGATTTTTCAGGCATCATTTTTGGTAAAGCAACCTTGAAGAGAATCAAATGAATCAATATGATTCATATCGAAGCTGGTTAATTGGGATAATGGCTTAAAATTGTATGCATTAAATGAAAATTTTGTAAATGCATGTACTAGATCTTATTGTGAACTATTAAAGAGGTCATGAACTGAGAAATCTAAATTCCCTTGATCTTTTGACATATAAGAGGTCATTGTACTATAAAAAGCATCCTCTAAGTTTCAGAACTAAAAACTTTCTTGTTAGTCTAAAAACAGCTCATATTGAAGGCAGTCTGTCAAAACGGCAGCTTGTGTGTGGCTAAGAACTGCCTCCGCAGAAGATCATCAACGCCTGCTTCTACATGGCTGCCTGTTTAGCCCCGCCCACCAATTTGCATATGTAGTGTTTACGAGAGAGGCGAATGAGCAGGTCTACACAGAAACCAAACGATAAAGATGGCTCTGAAAACAACAAGACGCTGTGCAGTGCCAAGCTGTGGAAACAGTCTTCGCATTGCCTTCATTCTGTTCTGATCCCAACATTAGGAAAGAGTGGATGAACTTTATTTTTTAATGAAGATCCAGACCGTCAGTAAGAACTCGGTCCTTTGTTCACGTCAATTTACTGAGGATTCCTTTACAAACAAGGCACAATTCGACACGGGATTTCCAGAAATTTTGAAACTAAAAGATGATGCTGTGTCGACTATATTGGATCCGACCGTAATATCGCAACACACAAGTGTGCGCAACTGTTTTTATTATGTGGTCACTATTGCTTTGTCTGTTAAACAGATCGTTTGAAATGTACTGAGTTTTTATGCGTTTTTAACCTAAATCACAGCAGCGTCCATCTGTGTAGGATGTACACTGTCAAACATACACAACTATTAGCCAATCATAGCAGTGGGCGTTTATTTCCAAGTCTACAATCCACCACGCCTATTCAAACAGAGCGTTCTGATGAGGGGGGTCAAAAATAGAACACAAAATCGCTTATTACTTCTAAATTATTACGTTTCTTTTATTTAAAAATCTTTATAACATTATAAGGGGACCTCAGAGAACAGTACAAAATAATAAAAAGGCAGTTCATGTCCCCTTTAATCCATGAATGTTTCATTTTTTTTTATTTTTTGACCTTGTAAGATGTTATAACTGAATCTATGAGTAAAAGGATCCATTTTGGTGACGTATAGAGACTTCTCCAATCATTTCATCTGCTTAAACCCTCCACAATTGAGTGCAAGATTGAGTGTAGTGCTGGGCGGTATACCGGTTCATACCGAATACCGGTGTTTATTTTTCTTATATGAATTTTTAAAATACCGCAATACCGGTGTCGTTTAAATAATGTTCGGACCGCGTTTGAGGGGGGGTCTCTTTTCACTGTTGCACTGTGGCGAGGACACAGCTGTATGTGTTACTAAAGCGTGAAAGTTCCGAAACTGAAGCTGTAGAACTAGTAGAACGTGATGACACAGAAGAACTCATCCACAATATCCAC